GCGGCGCGGGACAAGGGATTTGCTGGCCGCCGCTTCCCGCAGCCCCCATTGGCCTGGAGCAGCGAACCGCGGCCAGCGGGAGCCGCGATCGGCAGAATCTGCAGACCTGGCAGGTTAAGAAACTGGCCCGGCCCGCCAGGGGCTTTCCCTACACAAGCGGCGGCCCCAGTTTGAGAACCACTGTGCTAGAGATTACACTGTGGCAGAGGAAATTCAGACTGTTCACTGGCTTGGAGTGGACAATCATACTTTTAAAGATTGTTTGAGGACAAGGTGGGTATTCATAATTCTGAAATGGTGATGGGGTAGCCATACTGTCTGAGCTGGGGATGAAGGGGTACAGTGCAATACTGGGGCTTTGAGTGCAAGACTCCATCAACCCACTCCACATCAGTGAGCCCAAAGCTAGTCAGAACAGTCCTTAGAGTGTGTCATTAAGGCAGTGTTCGTGGTGAACATTTAGAGCTACTATTCAGGGTGGACACAGGAGTTATATGGTAAGGAGTCTGTATAAACAGGACATAAAAACAGTATTGCATTCACCCTGACCACAGAGTTCTGTGTATCTGTAATCTCTACATGGGCAGGGAGCGTGGCCCCATCACCTGGAAAATCTGATTCAGTGCATATTTAGGTGGCCTATGCTGTTGGTGCTTTTATAGAACCCTGGCTGTAGTTCAGAGCAGATCTTCCCAGCTGAATACCTTGGGGAAGTTTGTCAGTATAAATGCTACTGTCTTCCCATGGGAATGCATCAGCTAGTGTGAAAAAAGCCAGATATTTATCAACCTTGATATAAACAGCTAATCTTCTATTAACTCTCACTAAATTCTTAGTTCTGCATGTTCTCCAAGTTCCCTATGATATCTTTTGGCAATTAATTTCGATGAAAAGGGAATACTGGCCAGGAGTGAGGAGGTGCGGCTGCAGGAACTCGAGTTCATTGCTGCTGAACTGAAGGATGCATATAGAGTCCATGTCCTGAGGGAAATGCTGAGGGAATTCTCAGGTAAGTTAATGATAATGCAACAGGGGTTCTCTGGGTTTTCCTATCTGCAACCTCAAAATCACCTATGTTTTTCCCATTCCTAAATCCACATGCCAGATTCCTCTGGGCTCTTCCAGCTAGAGGTACTAGAAGTGCTATAATATATAGACATCAATAGTTATTACATAGTCCTGTCCTGAGTTCAGAGGACTGGACTAGATGACCTCTTGAGGTCCCTTCCAGTCCTACACTTTGATGATTTTATGAACTGTGTAAAGAAGTTTTTCCTTTATCAATTTAATTTTTTTGTCTTTTTAATTCATTGGATTCCCCCTTTTTTCTTGTATTGTCAGACAACATAAATAGGGACTGATTTACAGTCTCTGTAGCATGTGATATTTTATATGCCTTTATCATGTGTGCTCCTATTTGTCCATTCTCTACACTATATAGGACTAGTCTTTCCATGCTTGCAATCACGTTGCCATTTCCTGGACATTTTCCATCTCTTCCCTAACCTTCTTGAGAAGGTGGTATTCATGCTATAAACAGTGAGAAAGGAGTGGAAAGGGAAATAATGCCTCATTTTACATCAGCTAAGCAGAAAAAAAGACAATTTGACTCAATTTAGCACAATGTTAAGATACTAATCAAAGCTCTGAAAAACATTTTGCTACCTTCCTTAATAAGAAAAGAGCCAGAGAAAATCAAATTGGAGAGTCAATGCATTTACTTACTGCATTTCCAGCTTCTGCAGCCAGCCTGGCAGCATATCGGGCAATGAGTCTGTGCTCCTCATCAAGTCTGCTAGGGCTGTCCAAGACACTGCCAAGGGAACAAAAAGTCAACACATCCCCATCAATACACATAGCTTCAGCACAGGACATTACACTGTGCATGTCAAAGAAAAGGATGCATCAGTATGTAGAATCAAATTAATCTGAAATGAAAAACCCCTCTCAGAAACCATCTAGACCATGCCCTTCTCCAAATCTCGAACACAGGGCCTAGCACAAGATTGTTCTCTCAGTAGTCTATTCTTCAGGGGTTTGTCCAGCCTAGTGTTAAATATTTCAAACAATAAGTTTCCAAAACTGAAAAAAAAACCCTATAAAAAGATTGGTAGCAAAAACGATACTGTTTTTCCAAGGATATTTTTAATAGACCCCGATCAAAACGGGTAATTAAACTGAATGGTGAAGGTTGAAAGTCCTGTATTTAAAAGATCTATGTGACAAATGTCAGATCGAGAATGGTTTCCAAAAAGAAAAAATGAGTAAATCATGCTAACCAGAGAAGAATTCGCTCTGTCACTGAAAAAGATAAACTAAAATGCAGAAATACTGCTGATAGGCCAGCCTGGCAGGAGTAAAATGTACAAGGCATGCAAGGATTCGAGTTTGAGACCTAGAATTTGTCTTTCACTCCATGGCTGGCAGAGGTTGAGGATGCTGCAGAGATAGCACTTTTAGGGCTTGACCAGACTCTGCCTAATTTCAGCAGATGTTGGATCAGGGCAATACGGCTGCAGGTGCAGAGGTAAGGACCTCACATCACTCTGTAGAAATGTTACTGCAGCTGTCTTGGGAGAAACAGTAAACGAGCTCTGGAGGAAAATGTCTCCAGCAATTCTGATCCACAGTGACAGCACCATGAAACAGTAGGAAAAGTTGGAAGTTGAAGGCTGGAGAAGCAAAAGCAAAAATAGGAACTCTGGTGGTAAACATACAAACGGCCACACTGGGTCAGACTAATGGCCCATCCAGCCCTAATCCAGTTTTCTGACAGTGGCCAGCACCAAATGCTTCAGAGGGAATTAACAGAATGGGGCAATTTTCGCAGGATCCACCCCCTGTCATCCAGTTCCAGAATGTGACAGTCAGAGGCTTAGGGACAACCAGAGCGTTGGGTTGCATCCCTGACCATCTTAGCTAATAGCCGTTAATGGACCTATCCTCCATGAATGTATCTAGTTCTTTTGAACCCAGTTATACTTTTGGCCTTCACGACATCTCCTGGCAACGAGTTCCACAGCTTGACTCTGTTGTGTGAAGAAATACTTCCATTTGTTTCATTTGAACCTGCTGCCTATTCATTTCACTGGGCGACCCCTAGTTCTTGTGTTATGAGAAGGGGTAAATAACACTTCCTTATTCACTTTCTCCACACCAGTCATTATTTTATAGACATCTATCATATCATAGACGCTCCCAGGTGTCTTTTTTTGCAAACTGAACAGTCCCAGTGTTTTTAATCTCTCTTCATATGGAAGCTGTTCAATACCCCTAATCATTTTTGTTGCCCTTCTCTGCACCTTTTCCATTTTTAATATATAATTTTTGAGATGGGGCAACCAAAACTGCACACAGTATTCAAGGTGTGGGCATAATATGGATTTATATAGTTGCATTATAGTATTTTCTGTCTTATTATCTATCCCTTTCCTAATTGTCCCTAACATTGTTAGCTTTGTTGACTGCCGCTGCACATTGAACAGATGTTTTCAGAGAACTATCCACAATGATTCCAACATCTGGTTCTTCAGTGGTAACAGCTAATTTAGACCCCATCATTTTTACATGTAATCGGGATTATGTTTTCCAATGTGCATTACTTTGCATTTATCAACATTGAATTTCATTTGCCATTTTGCCGCCCAGCCACCCAGTTTTGTGAAATTCTTTTGTAACTCTTTGCAGTCACCTTTTCACTTAACTATGTGAGCAAATTTAAGAACATAAGAATGGCCACGCTGGGTCAGACCAAAGGTCCATCTAGCCCAGTATCCTGTCTTCCGACAGTGGCCAATGCCAGGTGCCCCAGAGGGAATGAACAGAACAGGGAATCATCAAGTGATCCATGCCCGGTCACCCATTCCCAGCTTCTGGCAAACAGAGGCTAGGGAGACCATCCCTGCCCAGCCTGGCTAATAGCCATTGATTCTGTATTGTCTGCAAACTTTGCCACCTCATTGTTTACCCCTTTTCCCAGATCATTTATGAATATGTTGAACAGCACTAGTCCCAGTACAGATCCTTGGGGGACCTAGCTATTTACCTCTCTCCACTGTGAAAACTGACTTTCTCTTCCTATCCTTTGTTTCCTGTCTTCTAACCAGTTACTGATCCATGAGAGGACCTTCCCTCTTATGTCATGATTGCTTAGTTTGCTTAAAAGCCTTTAGCCTTTGACTAGGTCTCTCACTTTCTGAAAGTCCAATTACACCCTTGTCCATGTTTTTTGATTCCCCTCAACGAATTCTAATAGATTGGTGAGGCATGATTTCCCTTTATAAAATCCCTGTTGGCTCTTCTCCAACAAACCGTGTTCATCTATGTGTCTGATAATTTTGGTGGGTGATCCTCAGGACTAATGGGAAATCTATGGTGGGAAGAGAGCACAACATGGGTCTCAAACTATTTATATATCCAGCAAAGTGCTTATACTAGTCTGGTGAGCCTGGCAGGGCATAACTAATATATAACACACTATAAACTTTAGAAATTGTTTTAAACTAAACAACTTTTAAAATATAATAATATCAAGCTCCCATGGACAAACAGTAAGTTTTGAATTAATTGAAATTAGTCAATATAAAGACCTGCTATGAGCTCAGACTATGGGCTGCAAAGTTCCCATTACAACAAATCAGCAGGCTTTTCAAGTTAGTGTTAAATTGAAATATTTGCCTTTGTTGCTGGTGTCTGATTCAGTCACTACAGTATGTCTTTTTTCTCCACTATAGTTTGTCTTTAAAATGATAGGTAATAAAATATTTTAATAAGGCTCAATTTTGCGATGTAGCCTAATGCCAGAAGGACTTGCTTCTTGATACTAGATCCACAGATGTAGTGCTGGATGTCAGAAAACATGCAGTGATGTGCACCTATGCATTTGCAATCAAATGCAGGATCAGAATCAAGCCCTAAAAATGAAATGATGGTAAAGAAATAAATGCTAAGTGCCGGCAGGACACTTTTTAAAATATCTGCATTACTTTGTACAATCATTAACTACACCTTAATTTCACAGGCAAATATTCATTTTAATTAAACAGTAGAATTCAAGTTACATAGCTCACATTTATTTTAAAATGTGGATTTGTTCAAATTCATTAATTTGGACTCCTCCAGACTTAGGTCGTCAGTCAGAGGAGGGTGTCAGAGGTTATATCTTACACAGCAGGGAAGCGTGAGGAAGCTGAATTAAGGTAATGCTGTAATTTACAGACTGAAAGGCCTGGAAGTAGGTGTAAATAATACCAGTTCAGATATACCTCTGAATTTGGCCTACTGTGTGTCCATAAACAGAATAATTTGAAGATATTCAGTGATCTAGATGCACTGATACTAGAGAAAGAGGGGCCTGTAAGATAAGGTGAAAATTTAGGAAAGTAGTATTAAGAGATGAGATAAACCATTGTATTGGCCTTGATGATCTTTCCCTGTTTCTATTTCCCACCCACCCCCATAACACTGTATATTCAAAACACATTTTCTGGACCATGGCACATTTTTATTGTGGGTCCACCTTCCCTACCTTGCTTTCTGAATTTGATTTTGAGACCTGTGTGGATTTCATCAGCAATTTAAGCTGTTTGACCCCTTCTTTCTAGTCAGCTCTCTTGCTGCAGGACCTTTCGTTCCCTTCTCCCTTTGTCCATGATTTGGTATCTCTTAACTGTGTCTCACTTCCTGAAACAGTTTCTCTTTATGCTAAAATGTATGAGAAAAAAAATCTTCAAAAATTAATATTGTAATGGAGAAAATCTACAGTTTCTTCTTCATTACTGTCAGAAGTCTTGTGTGTGCAGAAAGGTACTTGAGTTCGAACTTGCCTCCTTTACCTCAGACTTCCACATGTCAATTAATACAGAACTCAGGCTTCACGCATGGAAACAGAAGGCACAATTCACCATTCAGTGCAATACACATGTACCATATCTAACAATACTGTAGGAATATTATAAAGGGTATTAAACAGCAATCTATGAAATGTCACAGAATCCTATATCCTGCTTCACGAAGTAAAGAAAAATAATTTACTTGTAGTTACTGCTCTGAAGCCAATCTCACAGGATTCTCACTCTTACGACTGTTTCTTCTAACACAAGACCAGTTCAGAATTTTTGGCCTTTGAGGGCAGCAGGAGGAGGGTAAAGTGTGAGCCTGAATGAGCCATATTGGCTACCATGCACTACCTGTACAGGCTATTTTCAAAATGGCCCTTTCCAAGAAATGATAAGATACTTACAGATAAGCAAGTTATGCAATAACATAATTTCCCCTACTTTAAAGACATTGGGCCAAAGTCTCCAGACCGCTCTGACCACTTTGTGTTGCTTACAGAATGCAAAGTGGACATAAACTCACCAGAAATTCCTAGCAGAGAATTTCTCTTCTGGAGGGGAATGGCATAGAGCGAGCATCAGTCATTCCCCTTTCCCCAGTGGACAGGAGCATGTCAGGGAAGACCTGGGGAGTAACAACTGAGCTTCACTATGCCTAATCCTTCACTGGAATAAAGGATTTTACGTCAGCAGCACAGATTAGAGCAGGGTCCTTCTGTTCTAACTTATGCTGGGGCCAGGCAGCCTCAAATCAGGATGCCACAACTGGCTCCCTGAGACCGCCACTCTCCACTACAGCTTGGACATACCGGAGAAGAAGGGCTGCTGTCTCCACAGGATTCTCACACTTGAATGGTAAGAAGTTTGAGAATGTCCCAAACAAAAAATAGGCTGCAACAGGCAGCAACAGAAAAGACCATCAGAATCAATGAGAAATTTTAGCTGCTAACAGATACCAGAGAGACTCTGACACTGGAATGTGAAGGTAGCAATAAAAGTGAGAAAATGACTTCAAATAGAGATATTTGGCTAACAGAACATAAAATCCCCCAAATAAACAAAACTCCTCTGGGGGTGCGGTGGAGAGAGTTGGTTCTCTCCTATTTAGGAAATATGTTCTCAGGAGGCTGGTTCCAATCAATATCACTTTATGGATGCGTGAAGAGAGGTCCGTGTTGCTGCTCTGCAGAGGACAGCAAGGGAGATTTCTTTCACACAGGCAGTAGAGTCAACTAAAGCTTGTTAAAAAATTAAAAAATGTTAAGAAATTTCTAAATTTCTAAAATTCTAAAGCTGTTTCCATTTCATGGGGTTCAAGACAGACCCATGTTTCATTTTTTCAACATTTTAATTGATTTTTTATCAATGATTATTGAAATTGGTTTCCCACAAAACCCAATTTTCAATAAATGAAGCATTTTTATAACAGTTTTGATGTTTTTAAAAAATTGATAGAAAGTGGAATGGGGACAGTTGGTCCAAGTATCTCTCTTTTGTGTCCCTTGTGGATTCCTGGGTGTGTCCCAACTAAGAGCTAGCTTTCTTGGAGGGGTTGGAGGTGATCTCCATGACTTGTGTGCACATGGTTTGATTCCAAACCAATTTCAAAGTCCCACACATTATGAGTGGCTTCCGGTCAGAAAATACAATGAATAAGGTTTACATTGTTGTGTCCCAGGGGCATCTCTTGGACCCAGTGAACTCCCTTCCTCTTTTGAAGACACAGCTATAATATCGGGTAATTGGGTGAAATGCAATGGTCTGTGCGGCACAGGAGGTCAGACAGGATAAATCTAAAGGCCCCTTCTGTCCTTAAATTCTATGAATCTATAAAAGAAAAGGGAGTGATTATTATTATTATTCACTGAGTGTGTATGAGTCCTGGAATGGCAGGCCACCTCCACCTTTGGCAATGACTTTTTATGGTGCGTAGAGAATCCCACCAGTTTATCTCAGGCAGAAGGATGTAACCTGTACATGGGATTCTTGACGGCTGGGAGAGATCAAAAGCATGGCTATCGGAGGTGGAGGTTCACCGGGGATGTGGAGGAGCACTCTCTACTGATCAACTCTGCCAGACACACTGAGGGCAGAATTTATTTAATTTTTAAAAAACATGTCAATATGCTTTGGAAGGAGCAAAATCCTCCCTCTGAGACCAAGTGTTCCAACATTTTGCAGTGTGGCAACTATTAGCTACATCTAGTAGTTTCTCAAATCTCATGTATGTGCCTTGAAGTGCAGTCAGTGTGACAGCCCCTCATCACCAGCTCCTTTTCATCTTAAACTGAAATAACTACACTAATCCTTTGACGGGGGGAGTCAGGAATTCCTTGCTTGTTACATGGTGGACAGTGCTATATGCTGCTGGGTAAACAGGTGTTAGCAGAGAATAGTGACTCAACCTTCAGGGGGAATGACTGACTTCTCTCCATGATTTGGAAAGCTAGAGCTCATCTTTCCCACATATCTGTGGGACAGAAATTGCTAAATGAAAGAATGATGGCATATGGCCTTCTTCCAAAAATCTTAGCCAGTGGGCACATGTGGACAGGTTGATGCAAAGTCTCCAGGCACACCCTCTAGGGCTCTGCACCTCCTCTTCCTCTCCAGCACAGATTCGCCTCTGTTAATGGATCATTAGGCCCCAAAGTGGGGTGGGGAAGACTTACAGGCCAGGGAAGCAAAGTGGTAGAAAATGAAGTTATGGTGGAGTGAAGCCACCATGCTTTAGAGCTCTGGGGGAAACCTTTCTAGACCTCTCTCTTTATACAGAATCTAGATTTACAGATATAAAAGGTAAATGCACACAGCCACTAATTGTAAGTGAGAAGAGGGGATCTCTCCAAAGCACTTACCAAACTTCTCACACACTGTTTCGGAAAGATAAAGGACTGGAGTTTTGAGACCATGGCATGTTACATAAGTCACGTGCATGTGTATTTTCAGAATGATTTGAAGGATTCTCGACAGACTTGCCCCAGTTGCATCTGCTGGGGCACATATACCCTTGAGTAGAGCAGTGAATAGGATCTAAAAAAAAATGGTTTAGTGTCCATGGACCACTATGCTGAAATCATTTTAGTGTTTTCCTAGAACTACCATTAAATTGTTTACAGTAACAAAGGTGGCCAGTTTTTAATACATTTTTAGAACTAAGTTCATAATTGAAAAAAAAAAAAGAATTCAAGCGAGAGTTGCACAAAACCCTGAGAAAACTCTGAAGACACCAAAAAATATGTTTTTGATTTAAATAAAATTCACCCTGGGATAAAGGGTGAGAAAAGCCCTGCACACCATATAAGCACCATGTAAGCTCTTAATAAGAGGCTTAAGTGGTGTGGAGGGCCTTGTGCAGACCTACTGCCATGGGGTGACTTTCACCTCCCTGCTGTAAATCTCCCAAAGAAAACAGCATTATTGTCCCCAAACCCACTCCATGAAAGCTTTCCTAACACTAACCGTGTACCGTTCTGTAGCCGGCTCACATATGTTGCTATCAGTGCATGCTCATCAGCTAAACGATTGGCAGTGTCCAGTCTGTACTGCAACCTAGTAGTAATGAAGGCAAAGAAAGCAAACAAAACATAAAAAATAAATATAAAGCAAATTATTCATGTGTTAACAAAACACAGGTAACAGTAATTAAAATGAACACAGATTGATGAATAGTTAAAAATACACATATGTTTCAACAAGAGTCACATGAAAATGATACCTACTAACAACTGGGTGCTCCCAGATAATTCCCCCCCAAATACCCTATCAATCTGTGGGGTTCCTTCCAACCTGCATTTAGTAGTTTCATTTCTGGAAGGCACACACACATATCACAAGGATTTTAAGATAGCAAGTCATTTTAAAATATGTTTTTGCTTCTCAAATTTCCTGTGCCTGTGTAATTTTCTTTCGTTCCTGTATTAGGTATTGAAAACCGGCCTTTCAGCATGACATTCCAATTAAGTCCTACTCTAGACATGTCCAGGAAGGCATTTGTTTTGGAGATATCTTTTAAAACATGACACCTATTGCTTTCAGTGGCAGTGCACTGGATACTCAGAAACCACAATCCACATTTCTCAGACACACAAGCTCTTTCTTCTTTGTAAGGTACAGCTGGTTGCTATATAAATCTGCCGGAAGCATAGCAAGACCTTATAATGAAGAAGCAAAATGGAATTACCCTCGTAAACCCCTATGGGCAACAAGCAACCTTTCCAATAATGGGTTTGTAACAAGCGAGAGAATTAACATTAAGCACTGTACAGAAAGAACTCCTGAGCAATCTATGTACGCCTGTCTTTTGTGAAACCTGACTACTGTGAGATACTGAAAAGCTTTAATTTTAGATCCCCATTATAGCAGGCCTACAGTTGTAACCACTATGCTGAAGACAGCAAAACAGTTTCCATTATAACCTGTTCCATATGTTCTTACCTTTGTGAAAAATTCAGCAAAAATGGTTGAACTTTTAAATTTGAAATGGACATCGCCCTCATTGAAGACTAGCACTTTTAGTTTTTGGAGAAAAAAAAGGCTTTAATTTAAAATATAATGATGTCTGAAAACTGTCCTGATCATGCATGGCAGATTTTTCACTCAGTCTCTAAGTGTGCAACTAAATTAACTGACAAAAACCTTTGTTAATGCAGAGTTAAGTTTGCCCAGTGGTATCGCCTGCCTTTCTGAGTTCAGCAAAACTCAAACCATGGAAAACCAGGAAATGAAGAGTTAAGGTACGTGCCAACACACCCTTTGCAGTTGAGGCGCTGCTGTGGCTGGCCAAACGTTAAAGGATACTATGTAATTCCTAAACGATCCTTCCTGTCCTGTACAACTTTGGCTTGGTCCACACTGGGGCGGGGGATCGATCTAGGAAACGCAACTTCAGCTACGAGAATAGCGTAGCTGAAGTCGACGTTTCCTAGATCGAACTAAGTTTACTTACTGCGGGTCCACGCGGCGAGCAGGAGTTCCGCAGTCGATGGGGGAGTGCTTCTGGGATCGATTTATCACATCCAGATGAGACGCGATAAATCGATCCCAGAAGATCGATCTCTACACGCCGAATCAGGCGGGTAGTGTGGACCTAGCCTTTGTTATAGTGGGATGGTGGTAATAGTTGAATAACCCCATTCAGCCATTAGCACTTCAAAGGCAATTCACAGGTAAAAAGTTGCTCCTTGCTGTCTGATGCCCTCTGCTGCTGTGAACACACCACAGGCAGCAGTTTACTAGAAGGTCACATAGTTCCTTGGTTATGTAGGCTAAGCTGTACATACGGCGAGCCAGGTCCCCTGTGCACACAGCAGCCAGGCCTCTCCAACCACACCCTAGCACACACAGTTCACTGCTGCTCCAGACGCCCCCTTTCCCCTGACCTCAGGTAGAGATCGCTTGTACTTGAACTCTGAATTTCCTAGTTTTCAGAGAGTTAAGTTTAGCAACACTCCACATTCTGGAAGGGCACCAGGCACCAATGGGAAACCATAACTCTGCATTAAAGTGTCTGGGCATTTAATTCCTTGGTTTGAAAACAAAATAATTTCTTAGCACACCCATTTACCACAGTGCAGCTCTCTTCCTCCACTGCCTCTGGTCCCTGGTCAATGATTGCCCTGCCCACAGAATGTGCTAGCTGTATGCTAATCCTTTCACTGCCTCTGCATCATCTCATCAGCTCCCATCTCTCTGTCCTTCCCCAAACACCCTCCCCATGGACGGCGCGTGACTCCTGCATTTGGGGAGGCTGGGCATAAGCACTGGAAGCTCCCAAGAAGTGCATGGGGGCACCGGCACTGGACCGTGGCTCTACTCCCCTGCTTTGCCCTGAGGCCTGCCCCCGCTCGGCCTTCTCCCCCAAGGCCCCGCCCATGTTCCACTCCACCGCAGGCTCCGCTCCTGCTCAGCCCCCCTGCCCGCCACACGCTCCTTTCTCCTCCTTCCCCAAGGCCCCCCTCCTGCTGCTCATGCCTCTGCACCTCTGTGGATGGGGGGGGCCTCAGGGGACGGGGTGGAAAGGCACAAGCGGCGGGGCCTCAGGGGAAGAGGCGGAGCGGGGACAGGAAGAGGAACAGTGTGGGTGGGGCCACAGGGGAAGAGGACAAGCAGGAGCGGGGCCTCAGGGTGGGGTTACGGCCCGGGTGCCCTATCAGCAGCAGCGCTCCGAAGGTGGAGGGCCAGCATGCCACCAGAGGGAGGTGCGCCGCATCCTGTTTGGGGAGGCTGAGCCTCCCCTGACCTCTTGTACCTGCCACCCATAATCCTCCCCATGAAGAGGCAGGCGTCAGCATGGGATGCGCAGGTGAAGGAGCTGGAGAGCGAAGGCAGGAATAGTGCAGGGACGAGCATGGAGTCAGTGGGGACATGGGAGTAAGGATGGACCGGTGGTTAGGAGCCAGGAGACCTGGGTTCAATTTCCTGCTCTGCAACAGACTCGCTGTGTGATCTAAGGCAAGTCACTTATGTCTTGTCTACCCAGGCAAGTTAATTCAGATTGAGGTAGGGTGTGAATTTAAAGTGGAATAGTTCTTCCTGAATAGCTCTCTGTGTGAATACTTCTGTTCCAGAGTAAATGCCTTATTCTGAATTAGCTTAATCCACAAAGTGGATTAACAGTTAATCAGGAACCTCAAGTCTCTTTGTGTCTCATTTTCCCTTTTGTAAAAAAGGGGCTAATAGCATTTCCCTACCTCACAGGGATGTTGTGAAGATAAATGCATTAAACATTGCGAGGACTCAGATACTACAGTGATAGGGGCCATGAAAGTACCTATCACTCATGGACTGATTTGGAGGGAACAGAGCTGAAGCCCCTCCAACACCCCCACTGCACAGATCTGACCCTCACCTTTCCGCCTACTCTTTCCTGCACTGGTCCAACACTCCCCCTTCCTGCTCCAATGCCCGTATCCTCCTCCACCCCCACAACTGCACAGACTTCCCTACCACTCCAGCCTTCCCTCCAACATGCCCATTGCTTCAAACCTCCCCATACTCCCTTGCTACTCCAAGCTCCTCCCTGCACATCACCACTCTTTGTGCTTTCCCCACCCCCCAGCTTCACCCTCCTCCTTACCACTCCATGCATCTGGTAATCTTAGAGGGACAATAGGGAGGTGGTGGGGCTGTGAGGAGTGCCTGTATCAGCTGGAGGCAGGAAGGGGCAAGTGAGTGGAGATGCAAAATCCCTATGGTAGATCTGGGCCTAGTGTATGGGGAAGGTGTTCTGTACATTCATCTGGCAGCACAAGAGGCTCAGAGATGTATGAAATGACCCATTCATCTCAATGAGGTGTTCTCTGCTCAGTGACAACACTTAATTGAGATGAACACAGCCAGAAACAACAGCTCTGAGACATGTGAACAGATCCATTTATCTCACCAGCTGTTCTCATCCCCGCCTTCCCAGTGCTTGTGAGCCTGTGACATGCACCTGTCTCCCCGCCTTCCCAGTGCTTGTGAGCCTGTGACATGCACCTGTCTCCCCGCCTTCCCAGTGCTTGTGAGCCGGTGACATGCACCTGTCTCAGCGCTTTGTGCTTGGTGCTTGGTGCGTGCTCTGACCATGCCTGTTCTCAACATTCCATGCAGAGGAGCAGAGCTTCCACACTGGGGAAGGTGAAAGAAACACTCTGGTGTGCCACTATAATACGAGTCAGATTGTGCTCCGCTGCTTTGAGGGTACCAACATACAAGATACACTCCCACCACTCTAGGTACTTATATAGCTCCCTTCACAACAGTATCTCAACACATCACGGACGTTAATGAAATCACAGACAAAACACGTTGTCAATACACAGTTCAGGTTACCTGGTGGTATATTTAGGCCTGCCTCCGTGCAGGGGACTGGACTAGATGGACTATCGAGGTCCCTCCCAGTCCTACATTTCTATGATTCTATCTCTTGCCCTTTCAGAATATCAAGTTCAGCAAAACTCAAATGTCTGAAAACCAGGAAATACAGAATTAAGGTACATATCCAAGCAATGTTAACTTTCCCCCCCGGAACTGGCAATAGTCACTGGAATTATCTGCATGCACTTCAGCTGAATTCGCTGATAGGTGCAACTGTATCGAATGGAGGAATTAGCTGGAGCAGCTTGGCAGTGCTCTGATTGTGAGAATGGTCCAAAATTCAGGTGAAAAAATCAGTAAAAACCAAGTAACAGATTTTGTAAAACCTGGGAAGTTTTCAGTAAAAAAAATAAATAAAAAGATATTAAAAGCAGAAAATGAAGGGCCTTAGACCTACGGTACAAACACACTTAGTGTGCAGCATGCTGAAACACTGTAGATTTATAGCTCAGCTTGCTGCTCAGTAAATGTTTGTGTGGCGTATAGGGCATGTGTAGGTAGCTCCTGTCCAGTACAGTGCAACGGCTGAGCAAACAGGGCAGAGTTAAGGTTGTGTGGGCGTGTACTATAAGAAACAGTTATTAACCTTTCAATAACTGTTGTTCTTCGAGATGTTTTGCACATGTCCATTCCACTGTAGGTGATCGTGCTCGCCAGTGCACATTTGTCAGAGAGATTTTCCCTCGGCGGTA